CACTTCACGTGAGCTTACCATGCACATAGCCTGGCACAAGCGCCGAGGTGACGTCACCGCCACTTAGTGGCGAATGACGTTCGTTGTTGTTGGTGTGTGTAGGTGTGCGTGGGTGCGCGGATTTGCAAGAGCGCAGGCAGAGCGTCTCGCCTGCACAAGCTCCAGGACGAAGTGCGTGTCTTTGCTGGAGAGCTCCGAGGACAGATGCTCTGCTGCACCTCCATGAGCTGCGCTGCGTCCTTGCTCAACTTAATGCCGATCCCAAACTCGCGCCTCCTGCACTCCGCCTGTAAAGACAGGCATCCCTGGCCAAGGTAAATGGCCAGGGATGCGTTCCCCTATTAATCAAATTAATTATAAACATCCGAAACTGCATGGCTTACAATATTTTAGGATTTTTTAAGACAATTACAGGACAATTTCGGATTATTTGGACTGTGTGACCATTTACCGTGTCTGCTAACAAGTGACGTCACCCAAGGTCATGTGACCCCACTATTGGGAGAACCACAGAAGGTACATCACATTTGCCAGGTTATTTTCTGAAGTGCTTTTGGATCATCCGGACACTATTGCAGAGATTCAGATATTACATCTGAATGTCTCCAATACATCTGACCATTAGCAGAGATCGTTTTTTTGTGGTTTTTTAGGCTGAAATGTGATAGGCCAAAGCCATACACTTAAGAAATGGAGCCCATTCAGATGTAGCAATGAATAGATTTTTGTCTGTTTCTTGACATTACTCATGAACTGCTTTTTGTGTTTAGTTTGTTGTCCTTCCCCCGCACCTCCGATTAGCACGGTTGTCTACGTACGGTGCGAAAGCAGTTCAACATACGTACTTGATCCTCTGCAAAGGCACAATGCACTGTCCACCTACGTTAACTAAGCCAGAGTACACATGACACATATCATCATCATAATGTGGACTCAATCATTGTGAGTCTCAAGAAACCTTTTTCACAAGGAGAGTCCTGCAGCTAACTGTTTGGCCGATCCTGCTGCCGAGCGTACGGCTTGCTCGGTTGCGATGCACGCTGGCGTGGAGGCAGCTCCTCACCGGATGTCCTCCACGATGGCTCTGCACGGATCCTCCACCGTTGGCCTCCTCTCCCTCCCCCACGTCTCCGTCGGCGTTTGTCGTCTCGGCTGTCCCCTCACCCTCGGACACGGCTGCTCCATCCGCGTCGGCCACTATGCCCGAGGCGACCTCCTCCACCACCTCGTCTTTCTTCTCCTCCGCCTCGTCAATGTTCCCCTCCACCTCGTAGGTCGAAGGTGCAAGGGCGAACTTCTGGCAATCCTCTTCATCCCCTGGATTTCACTTTCATTCGGTTACAATGTCATCATCATCGATCATCACAAACCATGGTCTGAGCAGCAGGCATGCAATCATGCATTAATCCATGCATTTAAAAATACTCTTTATGCTTATTATACATTCATGGAGGTGTCCTTTTGAGAATACATAGGTGACGATTTATGCAAATCAAGTTCAAATGATATGTTACACTTACGGTAATGGTTACAAACATAACGGTGCAACAAGATGGGGAAACAATGAGCAACAATACAAATGAGACAAAAATAAGAATTGACTCCTGAATTACGCCAATCCATTACATTACTCATAAAGAAGGAGGGAGGGAGGGGAGGGGAGGGAGGGAAGGTCAGGGGCAGTCATTGGTTTGGGGGGTTCAGACAATGAGCTCTCTACACTTGGGGACCTGATTTCACCTCTTGTGAAAGCACGACTCTTGAACCCAGTAACATCTCTGTGATGCGGTGCACTAAAGCAAGCGATGCACGAGCTCTGTGAGCACCACTGCTGCCCCCTGAGTGCGGCTGTATCAGTGTCATAGCTACCGGACGAGTCGGAGGTCTCTTCATACTCGGACTCAGAATCTGACTTGGCCTCGGACTCCACGGATCCACTCTCCTCCTCCTCACTGCCATTGGTCACGTCAGAGTCTGAAACAGTAGCAGCAGCAGGTTTGAATGCCTGACAAACGAAAGACAAAAATAAATAAAGCTCGATATATATTTTTTTACATTTTAAATAAGATTGTTTTCAATTTGTGTGCCACATTATATTTGCTCTTACATAACGTGCTATACTATACTACAACGTGCTACACTATAACGTGCATAGCTTGGGTTGCATGGTCACAATCACACTGTGGCTTGACTTACATTTTCTATTTACGAAGGAGATGTGATCATTGGCTTGTAGCTGTTCTGGGGCAGTTGATGGAGGAATGTCAAAGCCAGGAGGTGCAATGTATGGGTCTCTAATGAGGTGATTATTCTGGACGTCCACGTTGTTCCACTCAGTTCGCCAGCGTTTTTCCGGATTTTAGGAGAATCGGGACTTAAGTTGGTGGCAAGGTACATTGTTGAGGTCTCTAAACAATACGAGTGCAGTTGAGAGTGACTGAAGAAACCTCAACAATGTACCTTGCCACCAACTTAAATCGATTAACCGATGTATCGCGCTCTTAATATTAACTAGCACAACTCTTTTTTACGATCAAAGCGCGTACAGTCAATTATTAAATCCAAATGTTTTTCCTGAAGGCGACATTCATGATGAAGGTTTACTCAAACTATGTGCCATATAAAGCAACCTGCCGCAACCTTGGCCGTGTCCAAGGCTGCGGCAGGAATGCACGCCGTAGTGCTGCCCCACAGCGCAGTCCACGGCCCTTTTCCGCTGGCACATCCAGTCTGCGGTGTCGAGGCTGCCACACTGGCTTAAAGCTAAACGATACACATGGAGCTGCTTCGCACAATGCAGAGCATGAAAACTGATACAATTATACAGATTTAAGTTTGCCTATTAAAACAAAATTCGTTCTCAATTTTAGTTTTCCAAATGCGCTATCGGCGTCATGTCAAGAGACGAATAAATAATCCATTCGTAAAGCTCGCATAACCGTGGAAGGCTGTGTGTCATTAAAATGCTGTGGGTGGCCTTTTATCTTTTACACAATAGGAGCCAACACTTTCACATTAGCTGTGTTATGAGATTGTGCAATGCACGAGAGTCAAGCTGAAATTGCTATTCTCAGAGATGAAATGAGGATAATTAAGTGCAAAACCAAGTTGAAGAGTATTTTAGTTTTGTACAGTCGCTGGTGACGGGGCTGGGACGATCAACTTGCTGGACTTGACAACTCAGTTGCAACCCAAGCGGTCTAAATCCAGATTCAAACCCAGAATCTCATTATTGCCAACACACCGCTTTGATCTCTGAGCCACCCGGCCACTTTGTATACATTTTTCGTTAATGTCACCACTGTACACTCACTTTTAAAGGTGTTTTTCAATATCTACCTTTGGGATGTTTGCCAATATTCACAATTATTTTTTAAGAGTGACAAGAGAAAACCCATGCATCTTATCTGATACTTTGTTGTGCTCTGCATTGGCAGTGATTACATAACACTTAAACGTATTCGAGTTATCGACAAATGAGTTTTAAGTTCATAATAATAAACTAATATTACCGCGCACAATTTCGGAAACAAACTTAACATTGAGTGCCACTCGGAGGCGGAAAGTACACACAAACTTTGCATGGGCAGTGTCGCACACCTACTTGCTGTACTGCCTCTTACCAGCTGGAGGCGGGTGGGCCCATGCATGCTACGTATGCACCTGGGTGTTGCGATCGAGGATGTCCAAGAAAGAGCTGAGGCCCAGGCTGGGAAGGTCACGCGAGTCAAAGTGCTTGGCAAGCTGCATCTCCACGCGTGACAGCGCGGTTAGGCCCAGGGGCTCTGCCATCTTACTTGCGTGGCTCAGCAGACAGACAAACTGCTCAGCTACCTCCTCTGCGAAGGAGAGAAGCAATGCCATTGTCGGAGAGGACAACGATGCTGTAACTCGCTCCAATAGGCTCAACAACTGCAACTCTCTCCCCCCCCCCCCCCACGTCTCATCTATGGCCTCCCGATAAGTTTCATCATCACACTCCAGATGACTCAAAAAACAAGTCTTAAAACGAAGGCCTTCGCGACCAATATTATCCGTAATCGAGATTTTTGGGCTAGGTCACATAAATAGTGCATATTTACATGTATTATTGAGTGCATGTTTATGTGCTCTAACCCAAAAATCTCGATTATGGACTCAAAAAACCGCTGGCAGACTTCTCACTGAGACCCGTATGCAAGACGATATCGCTCCAATATTCGAATTGTTCAAATATTCCCCGAACCAGTCCAGGATCAATTTCAAGATCACACTCAGCATTCTGAAGGTCCTCCGTGGTCTGACAATTATCACGTTGCCATGTTTACACAACTTACAAATAGTTTTGCCCTGTTGAATCGATCACCAATCCCAAGTGATGGTAATGTTACGGTAAAAAAAAACTCAGTGGGTGACCTCTGGGCACAGCATGACCTTGCAAACAGATGACAAATCGAGTTAAATAAACATGGGAAACGCACCTCGATGAACAGTGTGACTTCCCTGTGTGTTCGGACAAACTCATTCATCGCAGGCAAAACGAACATGTTCCGAATGCCCACGTCCTTCAGGAACTGCATCTTGAGGTGTTGGCACACCAATTGCCTAGCAAAAGAGGAAAACAGCAGGAACGACGTGAATACATAATCGCCATGCAGCAGTCTACGCCCGTCAATTTCTCACAGCGGTAGTAAGGTCCTTAGGTGTCTGGGAGCACAAGGCAGATGCAGGTGGGTGAGTAATAATTTCCTTCCCTTACGCCAATACTTACTTCAGGCTGTGCAAGAGATGACACATGTTAATTGTCACACAAGAAAATTAGAAAGCTGCCATGCTGTTAATGGTTTGTATACTGAACTCACAGACCAGAGGTCGCTTAATGGGTACACCACAGCTGATCGGCAAGTCGTGTGTGATGCAGCAAAGTGTGGGTTTCAGCCAGCTCTTCCAACACATCTGGTCAAGATGGAAAAGTAGAATATGGGATGTGTGGACCAATCCGTTTCAAAGACAATGCATATATTATCAGAGCATGTTTGCATGTTCACCACAAGTACGTGTGGTTAATGCAGACAGGATTCCTTGAATAAGGATTCTGTTTGGTGTTTTAACATCTTGACACCTGTTGTATTGCCAAAAAGGGTAAAACCTATTGTTATATGGATAAGTAGACCAAATACTCGTAAAGAGTTCGCTCTCATGAAGGTCACCAGCGGTGGTGTGACCAAGCAATTGCAGAGCTGCACTTTTATATAATTCAGGTCAAAGCAAGATACACATTGGAGGATAAACATCCCATGGTGGCTGTGCAATTGTTGTGCAATAATGTCAGGTCAAACTTACTTAGGATATTTACAGGTACGTTTTATTCATGCCACACAGGTAGAGAGTTGAGAGTGAAACCTGGGCCACTGGCATAGTGAGTCACGGACTATGAGTCACCCGGACTATGGGTTATTGTATTTGTTTATGGTTGCTATACAAGCCATCAAATCTACACCACGAAGAGAGTTGATGAACAAGTAGGAGAGTGTGTAATCAGATTACATACATGTGCACAGGCGTTTCAGATGTGAATATAACATAAATAGGGTCGACGACTCAAACGCCGCTCTTTAGGATTTGTCACACTCAATAACATTAACATTTAAAAGTCAAGGTCAATAACCCAGTCAAATGGGTAGTGCATCGATGTACAAATTGTGGTTACGGATGACTGCTAAAGAAAATGCTGAATGCGGTTTGGAAGCGAGTTTAAACGTGAATCTACACCATTTTAATATATCTTAAACAACCCGTTGCAAACATAAGCGTAATTTGAAATGTAGCACCGTACATCAGAACTATTTGAAAGACGTTAGAGATTTGAAACTGTCCAAAACGAAAAAGGGGGAAAGTATTTTTTTTTCACAATACAGTACAGGTTTTTGGGGGTTTGGGTTAGATCGGGTAAATATGTTGTTAAACCCACCACCACCCGACACAGCCAATTAGTAATGTTTGTCACGTAAACAGAACATGCCAATTCGTTTCAAGTACAGCACACCGGTTGTGTGTTGGAGAGCAAAGCGACAACATTACAATCTGAGCACGACGTTTCGACAGTAATTACAATCAGCATTATCAGGCCAGATTTGTGGATTTTAAATATATATATTTATTTAAATATGTATTTATTTAAATCTATATTTTACAACAAATAGAGAAACTGGAACATTATTACAAAATTGGGTGGGACATATGTCGAAAAGAAAATTACTTCAGCTTACCTTGCAAGAACTAAGAAGTAGTGTGGCCATGTGGCATTAATGACAGAGACAGACAGAACAAAAGTTGACGTTGGAATGAAGACAAATGGACAAGGACACGGACTGCATTTCACGCAGCCCCACCTCATTCACATCGCCGAGTGTCTCGAAACCTTACCACGTCTACAAAAATTAACGGACATCGATTAAAGTGGTGCCATTAGATTTACAATTAGTCTGAATCTTTAGTACACATGTAATGCCTAGGAATACAAAACATGTTGTAAGAGAATACAGGACGTTTAAACAATTTCAAATACTGCTTACTACATCCAAAGCCATTTGAAGAGTCGTAATGTAAAATCAAATGGCAGAGTAAAAGATTTTCATTAATTTCATTGCTTCCATTCTAACATTTCCGAACCTGTGGTGGGCTCATTGCTTGCATATTAAACACTCAACACGAGTCATTATTATGAGTTCTTGCGATTAAATGGTACATATCGCACAATATAATATCCACAATTTGCCATGGTGTTTTTCAAAATATCGTAGCTTGATTATATATCTTAAGTATATTATTATTCCTGACCAAATGTTAATGATTAACAAAAGCGCAATAATTACGGTTGTGGATGCATTAAAAGCTCATGAGGAAGAAAGGGCTCAAGGGCACAAACTACTGTCACGTGTAAACATAAACACTGCACGTGTATACATTAATGCACACATTGTGTAGTAGTAGTATTTAACTCACCTTTAATGACGGTGACCATAAACACAAGTAAAAGTGTGACTATTAATGAGTGTGCGACTGTGTGACGCGGCGCGTACAGTGCCCGCGTCACGGGTTGGCGCCTCGCGTGCACGGAGCGAGGCGGGCAGAGGCAGAGGGGGGGGCAGTGGGGGGGGCAGTGGGGGGGGCAGTGGGGGGGGCAGTGGGGGGGGCAGTGGGGGGGCAGTGGGGGGGGCAGTGGGGGGGGCAGTGGGGGGGGCAGTGGGGGGGGCAGTGGGGGGGGGCAGTGGGGGGGGCAGTGGGGGGGGCAGTGGGGGGGGCAGTGGGGGGGGCAGTGGGGGGGGCAGTGGGGGGGGCAGTGGGGGGGCAGTGGGGGGGGGCAGTGGGGGGGGCAGTGGGGGGGGGCAGTGGGGGGGGGCAGTGGGGGGGGCAGTGGGGGGGGGCAGTGGGGGGGGGCAGTGGGGGGGGCAGTGGGGGGGGGCAGTGGGGGGGGGCAGTGGGGGGGGCAGTGGGGGGGGCAGTGGGGGGGGGCAGTGGGGGGGGCAGTGGGGGGGGCAGTGGGGGGGGCAGTGGGGGGGGCAGTGGGGGGGGCAGTGGGGGGGGGCAGTGGGGGGGGCAGTGGGGGGGGGCAGTGGGGGGGGCAGTGGGGGGGGCAGTGGGGGGGGCAGTGGGGGGGGCAGTGGGGGGGGGCAGTGGGGGGGGGCAGTGGGGGGGGGCAGTGGGGGGGGGGCAGTGGGGGGGGCAGTGGGGGGGGCAGTGGGGGGGGCAGTGGGGGGGGGCAGTGGGGGGGGGCAGTGGGGGGGGGCAGTGGGGGGGGCAGTGGGGGGGGGCAGTGGGGGGGGGGCAGCGTGGGGGGAGGCAGTGGGGGGGCAGTGGGGGGGGCGGCGTTGCGCGGAGGACGTTGGCGCCCTCGCGGTCTCCTCCACGCACCAGCTGTGTTTCTGTCACTTGGTGGCCCCCCCACCACCGCCCCTTACTGGACATCTGTGAATGCGAGCTTGATGGTCAATATAGATTTTGATTCAGAGTACAGTGTGCAGTGTGCACAGCACCTGTACGGCAAGTCCTCGTTTAACGCGGTAGATGCGTTCCTAAAAAGTGCCGCGTTAAGCGAAAACTATTTCCCCCGTAATGAATGTCCAGTCAGAATGGGGTACAAATAACTTGAAGGGACACCACCGCGTTACCCTATCATCTCGCTCAACCGCGCAGCTCAAGAAAGTAGTTCGCCGTCGACGGCTCAGAAGTCGCGTTATGGCGGTGCGCGTTCCGCGTTGTGCGAAAAGCGTTGTTGTGAAAACGCGCTTAGCGTGAACACGCGGGACAGACCCAGTTGTGTTAACTCCCTGAGATAAACTTGCTGCCAACTCGATGCGTTGTATACGCCCAGTGCTCCGCCAATTGTTGTGAGCGTCGCTCCTCTGCCCTCTGTTGTTAATGGAGGGAGACTGCACCCAACTGCCCAGTATCATCATTCGCGAGCCTCTTCAAAATGCTGATCTTGATATCGCTGGAACCAGTCATCGGCCTTGACCTCACCCCACAAGAGTGCAATTTTAACCGCTCAACATCAAAACACAATGATGGGTCGCTTGCACCAATCGCACAACATCACAGCATTGACTCTCAACTGCAACCTGTGTAGAGGGGTCAAGTGTGTCACCACAATTGTCCTGATGCTGCAACTCGTGCTGCGAAGTATTTTCCTTGCCATATTACCTGTGACAAACATAATGAGCACAACCGGTAAGTCTAATGAAACGAGAGGTGGGCAACCTGTACTTTAAAATATTATTAATAGCAGGCAATTTGAACACGACTTACAGAAACACCGATGCAGCTATACACATGCCAGATTGTCCAGATATTCGGCTGATACTAATAGGGTTTATTTACCAGTGTTGTACATTACTTGAATTACATTTGTTTGGGCGGCAGGGTGGTGCAGTGGTCACGCCCGTGCATGACATCTTCTGAAGGAGTGCCTGGCTTCGCTTTCCTAATTATGGTCCCTTTCTCTGCATGGGTTTACTCCCATAGCAAAACAACAACAAAAACATACAACGTAACTGGTACTAGCCAAACATACAAATTACTCCTGCGAAGACTTGGCAGGCCCCTCCTGAAAAAGAGGCTTGTTTCCCAGGGAAACAAGCCTATTAATAACAACATTGTATAACTGCATGTGAAAAATAAAATTTTGATTCTCAGCATTAAATCTCAGCGGCTGTTTTCATTGAAACATCAAGTTACGTTCAAGTGATAATTTTAACTCGCACACAGTATTCCTTCATTTTGGCGCGAGGGAAGTCAGCAGTCAAATGGTGAGGAGCTGGCAACAAATCTCTCCCCCCTTCCACTCCTGCCCAAGCTCTGTGGTCATCTATATATAAAGATTAATTAATGAGTGTTTACATGTTGGAGGAAATCGGAGCACCTGGATAAATCCAAGTAAATTGTGGGGCAACGCTCTATCACATATAGATGGAACAGGCGGAGTCCACATTTTTCGATACCGCCTTCTCCAGGGTATGATACCTCCTTGACGACCAAGGGGTGGGAGTTTTCGCAACATTTTTGTGATCCACCAATCCTCATCTCCACGCAGTCCTGGATTACAGGCATACATAGCCATCCAACCATCGGGCGAAAGTAGCTGTAATGCACATATACAATTCTACAAAAGTTTATGGGGCAAAGGTCGTGGGTCAATTGGTTTGATTTCTATGCGCATAAACCAGTCTCCAACGTATGCACATTTAGATTCGCATTCGGCCGCCAATGGAACAGGTGGAGTCCAAAAGCAAAATGGATGTACTGATTGTATCTTCATTGCGGGACTCATCCAGCATTCGATTAACATGGGCTTAACATATCCACGTGTAGACGGGAATAAACACTGGGGCCACCTGGCGGTATATGTTTGCCGGTGCACATTGGGACCGGCTCACACGTCACTGGCCCCAGGCAGCCCCCAGCCACTGGGCGTGCAACACAGCGAAGGGAATCTCCCACCAATGAGAACCACGCACAACCCAGGGTGCAGTCCTATAACTTGGACTCGCAAACACAACCAAACCCATAGCTGTCAACCCATACGGTTTACCCGTATTCTGTTGGGGGGAAATTCGTTTTCAGGTCCATACGGCATACAGCCGTTTAAATACGGGCAACATTTTTGTTAAGTCTATTTGTGTGTATTTCACCCTTGTGATGGGACTTTGTTGGATGTACGTTGATATTTATCAGGGGCACGGGGTGACCAAGGTCTGAATTGGTCTGTAATAAGGTAGGCACTGATAAGGGGTTGACAGCAATGCAAACCCCACACAATACAAAACGCCAAGCAGCCAGCAACAAAAAATAATACATCACTGTCCAATGAGTAATTAGATGAAGATAAAAGAACCGCGTTCCTTAAATTGATTAAGTTTATTGTTGCAAGAGTTTGGGAAAACAGGAAAACCGGTGGGGATTCCAGAGTGGAGCAGTGCAAACTGATGAAGCTGAAAAGAGTAAGGTGACCTGCATGGTGGTGAGTGGGTGAGTGAGTAAATGGGAGAGTGTTTGAGTAAACGAGTGGAGGAGTGTCAGATAGGGTGATTGATTCAGTGACCGGATCAGTGGGTGACTGGATGAGTGGGTGATTAGATGAGTGGGTGATAGGGTGATTGAGTGGGTGACTGGATGCGTGGGTGACTGGATGAGTGGGTCATAGGGTGATTGAGTGGGTGACTGAATGAGTGGGTGAGTGGGTGACTGAATGAGTGGGTGAGTGGGTGACTGGGTGAGTGGGTGACTGAATGAGTGGGTGATTGAATGGGTGACTGGATGAGTGGTTGTCTGGATGAGTGGTTGACTGGATGAGTGGGTGATAGGGTGATTGCGTGGGTGACTGGATGAGTGGGTGACCGAGTTGTTTAGTTGAGTGCGTTGTTGTGAATTGCAGTGTGGCGCGGTGGTTGAACACGGAGTGGATGAGACGAAGCGGTCAAAGTGTCTGGTAGACCGAGTCCCTTAACGTGGGTGGAGGGGGGAATCAACGAGGTGAAGTTGACTGAAACATTCACCATGGTGGTAGTAGTAGTCGCAGCGAAAAAAATAGTGATACTGGATTGCATGGAAATACACATTAATTATAGGTCTGAATGAGGGTTGAAGCGAGGCGGTGCAGAGGAGGCGAAGAGGAAGGTAGAGGAGGTGAGGTGGTGAGGTGAGGTGGCGTGGTGAGGTGAGGTGGCATGGTGAGGAGGGGCGAGGTGGCGTGTTGAGGTGAGGTGGCGTGGTGAGGTGGCGAGGTGAGGAGGTGAGGTGGCATGGTGAGGTGAGGAGGTGAGGTGGCATAGTGAGGTGGCATGGTGAGGTGGCGTGGTGAGGTGGCGTGGTGAGGTGGCGTGGTGAGGTGGCGTGGTGAGGTGGCGTGGTGAGGTGAGGTGGCATGGTGAGGTGGCGTGGTGAGGTGGCGTGGTGAGGTGGCGTGGTGAGGTGGCGTGGTGAGGTGGCGTGGTGAGGTGGCGTGGTGAGGTGAGGTGATATGGTGAGGTGAGGTGGCGTGGTGAGTGGCGTGGTGGTGAGGTGAGGTGGCGTGGTGAGGTGGCGTGGTGAGGTGGCGTGGTGAGGAGGTGAGGTGGCGTGATGAGGTGGCATGGTGAGGTGGCGTGGTGAGGTGGCGTGGTGAGGTGGCGTGGTGAGGTGGCGTGGTGAGGTGGCGTGGTGAGGTGGCGTGGTGAGGTGAGGTGATATGGTGAGGTGAGGTGGCGTGGTGAGGTGGCGTGGTGAGGTGAGGTGGCGTGTGAGGAGGTGGCGTGGTGAGGTGGCGTGGTGAGGAGGTGAGGTGGCGTGATGAGGTGGCATGGTGAGGTGGCGTGGTGAGGTGGCGTGGTGAGGTGGCGTGGTGAGGGAGGTGGCGTGGTGAGGTGGCATGGTGAGGTGGCGTGGTGAGGTGGCATGGTGAGGAGGTGAAGTGGCATGGTGAGGTGGCGTGGTGAGGTGGCGTGGTGAGGTGGCGTGGTGAGGTGGCGTGGTGAGGTGGCGTGGTGAGGTGGCGTGGTGAGGTGGCGTGGTGAGGTGAGGTGGCATGGTGAGGTGGCGTGGTGAGGTGGCGTGGTGAGGTGGCGTGGTGAGGTGGCGTGGTGAGGTGGCGTGGTGAGGTGGCGTGGTGAGGTGACATGGTGAGGTGAGGTGGCGTGGTGAGGTGGCGTGGTGAGGTGAGGTGGCGTGGTGAGGTGGCGTGGTGAGGTGGCGTGGTGAGGAGGTGAGGTGGCGTGATGAGGTGGCATGGTGAGGTGGCGTGGTGGTGAGGTGGCGTGGTGAGGTGGCGTGGTGAGGAGGTGAGGTGGCGTGGTGAGGTGGCGTGGTGAGGTGGCATGGTGAGGTGGCGTGGTGAGGTGGCATGGTGAGGAGGTGAAGTGGCATGGTGAGGTGGCGTGGTGAGGTGGCGTGGTGAGGTGGCGTGGTGAGGTGGCGTGGTGAGGTGGCGTGGTGAGGTGGCGTGGTGAGGTGGCGTGGTGAGGAGGTGAGGTGGCGTGGTGAGGAGGCGTAGTGGAGGCGAGGTGAGGAGGCGGAAAGGAGGGTGCCCTGCTCTTGGCGTTGCTCTTGGTGAACACGTGTCCGCGCCCCGTCTCGTAGCTCTGCCCGGCGCTGATGCAGCCTCCCCAGGCCGAAGCGCCCAGCGGCCTCGCCGAGTCCGTGCCCAGCTCCGCTCTGAGCAAGCTCTCCATTGCGTGCTGTCTGCTTGCAGCAACAAACACAACAATAACCCCCCCCCCCCCCGTCCTGTGTGGCCTCTATCAGACTTATTTGCTATGGAGAGGTAATTTCTTTAAACAAAAGGAAAGAGCAGCAATGGGCTCTCCTTTATCTCCTGCTATAACGAATCTGTACGTGGAAAACTTTTACCGAAAGGGAATGCACACTGATGCCTATCTGAATGCAGATTCGCATCATCACCCCGCACATAAATCCTCTCTCATCAAGATGCTCATACATTGGACTAAAACAGTGTCAGATGGTGAATGTCTGAGGAGAGAAATTAAACACGTCAAATAAGCACTAAGATTAAATGTCTACAATAATGCTCAAATTAACAGAGCATTGAATGCCAAACCAAGATCGAACAGCAATACTGCTAAAAGTGATCAGGTTATTAAAACTTTAAAATACCACATATCGTGGGAGTAACTGACAAATTAGCTCGAGTTTTGGAAAAGCAAAAAATCTAAGTAAGATTTGGCACGGTACACAAAATTCAAAAAATTGTATCTTGTACTAAAGATGAATTGCCTAAGTTATCAACAGATGGTGTGTATCGGATTAATTGCTTATGTGGCAGATGTGATATTGGACAGACGGGATGGAACATGAGCATGAGACTAAAAGAACATCAAATAAATATTAAATACTCTCAAACATAACTGTCAGAAGTTGCAGAACATGCTTCCCAACAAGGACACTCATATGATTTTCATAACGATGAGGTGTTGTGTAAAACGAATTATTATTGGCCAAGACTAATTCAAGAATCCATTGCAACTGAGAAAATTTTAATTATTTTAACCAGTCTGACAGCTACAGGCTTAGTGCGGTCTGGAAGCGTATTATTAAGTAATTGTAATTGTAAGATGAGGACATCAAGAGGAAGGCAGAAGAAGAGGCGGGGCGATGTGGTGATGCGGTCGAATGTAGTGGCCCGAGGAGCGGAGGGAGAGATGGCGCGGGATGGGGTAGTGTGGAGAAGGTGGCAAGGATGACGGACCCCACGTGAGTTGAACAAACGCGTGGAAGAAGAAGACATCTTCCATTTATCATTACTTATAGAGAAAACATACTAATTAAATTATTACTAATCAATTATAATTTCAATAACCACCCTCCCCCGCCTCTGATTTCTGCACGTGATGGGTTCAGTGATGACATCGTCTTTCTCTATTTAAAACCGGAAGCAGGCGGATGGCTTCACTATTCTGGCAAATCGCCCGATGATGCTGGATATAATTACCAGCAAACGTCGTACTCAAATTATGGATTTACTCTCCAAAACACCGGTGGGCTGAAGTAGCAACTAAGTGGAGTTTTGTTTACGTGACATATTCCTTACTAATTGGCTGTCAGGTGGTGGAGGGTGACGACACATTAATACTTACGAGATCTAACCCAATAAACTTTGTTATGAAATTAGGACACTTTATTAATATATTGTATACAAAAAAATACAGCAATTATCTAAAAAATATACGGCAATAGATGTAACCTCGCAGCAGTGAACGTGACGGAATTTCATTATGGAAATGTCCGCTGCTCAAAACCTTGAGTTCATCGCTCCACACATGGTACCTCAGCCTCAGGATGAAATAAATCATCAGTGAGTTCTACGTGTGCATCGTGCACGCTCCATATGAGTTAAGCTGCTGTCTCGGCACCCAACCAGCCGCCTTCTCTTTTTGGGGTAGTTGGAGTCCAGCGCGCTATCGAAGGGCAGGTGGTGAACACTCAGGATGTGTCTCTTGAGCTTTGACTTCTGCGTCGCTCCGTATGAGCAGTCACTGCACGGGAAGAGCTTTTCCTCTGGAACACAAGACATCCACCATTGAGCACACACATGCGCTAATCCATCATTTATTTATCACCATGCAGTGGATGCCATAGCATCACTATGTCTGGGACATTTTAATAATCAAGGTTGCTGACCACAAGCCCAAAGGCCCAAAATGCCAAATGGCCAGAAACAAATACCTCCGATTAGCACGGTTGGCTATGTATGGTGCAAAAGAAGTTCAATACAAATAGCAGAAAAGCAAGATACTGATTTCCTGAAAAATATCAGAAGAACACATTTTTGGGGCTTATTTTGAAGCCCCAACATTTTGCACTTTTTTGTATGGCTGATGTTGATGCAAAGCACCAACTATAATTTGACATTGAGGTGGTTGAGCCAGATGATTCTTTTACAGCTCATTAATTACGCAATAATGACCTGTAATAGAACGAGTAAATGTGCATGGATGTTAGGTGTTAGTACAATGAAGAGGAAGTTCCAATTATGCAAATGACTCGGTCTATACATTTAACAATGTTGCCTAAATTGACCCACTTGGTTATAAAAAATGACCCCGGTTAAGAAATTAACAGATTCATATTCTTAGGTTTTTTCGGTAAAGTCACGTAGGTAAAACATTAAAATTAATAAAAGTAAAATAAAATAAAAATCACGACGTTTCGGAGGCAACACAAGCTTCCGTCTTCAGGTGGAACAGTCACAGCCACGACAGCTGTATCAAGTAAATGAGAGATTGCAGGAGCTACCACTCCGTTTATATAATGGTTGGAGAGGGGGGGAAGGGCCAAGTACAGCACACTTTTTATTCATATGGTAAGGTGAGGCTTAAGAGGGTGAGCCTTTGTTATGGAGAGGTACGGTTCGTGACTCAACCTGGCCTACCTAACAATAGTGTGAAAAGGAGAAAACAACTAAACATGGTAAAACAAGCCTGGCTGTCTATCAATAACCTGTAATAGTTGTCTGTCAAATAAGATTGGCCAAATAAGTGTAGGTAAATCTTTTTTGCATGATTAATCACATCTTTCCAATGATTACTCAGTTTGTAACCATCATCACGGTTGAAATTATGTCTGTGTTTGTATATTTGTATGGCTTCGTGTACAAACCTTTGATGGTAGCCAGGAGGTTTGGAGAGAATCTTGGTCTTGGGAAAAGACAATTTCATGAGAGCCCACCGAGTTGTAGCAATGATCGGCAACGGCCGAAGAATCAGTTCTGATGCAGAGGAGGCCTGACGGATCCTTGGGAAATTCTGTCTCCAGGAAAGCCACCCACACAGATTCCTACTTGAAACCGGATTCCCACCACCACCCATCTCAAAAGAATTCTCTCATCAAAACGCTATACCACAGAGCCCATGGCATTTCTGACACCACCTGGCCGGTGAATTAAGACATGTACATCGGGCCCTCAGGATGAATGGATACTCTGACCGCACTATCCGCCAAGCTGTTTCTCCCACCACACAGACACAGCCACATGAAACTCCGACCAAAACTATCACGTTACCATACATAGCAGACGTGACCAAAAAGATCTCCAAAATTCTAAACAAACATAAGATCCAAGTCCGATTCAGTACAGTGCATAAAATCCGTGATCTGATTCCATCTGTGAAGGATGTCGTTCCTGACTTACAGTATCCTGGAGTCTACAAATTGAGTTGCATTTGTGGTGATTGCTACATTGGAGAAACGAAACGTCATGTTTCTGATCGTGTCCGCGAGCACAAGTCAGATCTGAAACACGGCAGAACTGATTCTTCGGCCGTTGCCGATCATTGCTACAACTCGGTGGGCTCTCATGAAATTGTCTTTTCCGAGACCAAGGTTCTCAACAAACCTCCTGGCTACCATCAAAGGTTTGTACACGAAGCCATACAAATATACAAACACAGACATAATTTCAACCGTGATGATGGTTACAAACTGAGTAATCATTGGAAAGATGTGATTAACCATGCAAAAAAGATTTAACTACACTTATTTGGCCAATCTTATTTGACAGACAACTATTACAGGTTATTGATAGACAGCCAGGCTTGTTTTACCATGTTTAGTTGTTTTCTCCTTTTCACCCTATTGTTAGGTAGGCCAGGTTGAGTCACAAACCGTACCTCTCCATAACAAAGGCTCACCCTCTTAAGCCTCACCTTACCATATGAATAAAACGTGTGCTGTACTTGGCCCTTCCCCCCCTCTCCAACCATTATATAAACGGAGTGGTAGCTCCTGCAATCTCTCATTTACTTGATACAGCTGTCGTGGCTGTGACGGTTCCACCTGAAGACGGAAGCTTGTGTTGCCTCCGAAACGTCGTGATTTTTATTTTATTTTACTTTTATTAATTTTAATGTTTTACCTACGTGACTTTACCGAAAAAACCTAAGAATATGAATCCTTGCAGTCACGAAAGCTTCAAATCTAAAATTAACAGATACTTTTTGGAATTTGGCAAACAATGTATTTTGTTCAGTTCTATTCCAATGGTGCTATTGGCACCATGTCATGAGATGAAGTATCCCTGTGCAACTCTCACACAGCAGTGAACCACCTCATGTAAGAGAACAGCTCGTGGAAGGAGATATCATTGCACTACTCATGACATCCCTTCGTGACCGTTTTTTATCCACTAGGAGGTTATTGCAATTTCCTACATGACACGCGACATCAGAAGTGTTTGCTGGAAGTGTTTGGTAACTGGGATGAGACCATTAATGAGAAGCCAGTTTAATCATGGGTAAGTGGCTGAAACCCAGAGTTTAACACAACATCCTAGCAGCACCACATCACATCTCTAGACTCCTCAACACAGGCATACAAATATGGTCAACATATGCATACATTACTTAATTTGTGAAACTATCAATTACATCCAAATGAAATGTAGTGTGCATTACGTACCCAAAGATTCCAGGTTGGGTTCATCCACCTTGGGGATGCTCTTCTCAACGCAGCCTCCTGCTTCCGTGCAGTCCATCCTCTTGATGTCCGAATTCTGGCTGTTGCTACTGCTGCAATTGTTTCCGCTGGTGGTGGTCTTTTTACTTTTAACAGACTTAGGTCCACTTCGCTTTTCCTTCTTCTGTTGCAAGGCAATCAACACTTTCATGCTCGTAATAGGATCGAGAGCAGCGTATGGTTTATTCTCACTGACTTGTGAAGCAGTTTCTTGACGTGGAACTAAGCCAAAGTATTCAAGAAAATTGAATTTCACGTAATTTATCTTAACGCCGCTATCTTCTGTCGAAGCGTAATCATGTTCAGGCTTCGGTCTGTACAAGAACTGTGCGTGAAGACTTTTGTGAGTTTTCAGGATTTCAATATGACACACAAATCCGCAGACTGAGCACATCTCATAGGGCGACGGTGGATTCAACACCGCATTGGCAAAACTGCGGTTATTCACCAAACCTGGTGCACCCTTTATCATGTAGTTCTTTTCGTGGGTCTCCATATGCTTTGTGAATTTGCCTGGCTGATCAAAGCATTGTCCGCAGATGCCGCACCATTGGTCACGGGTCTTCTTGTGCTTTCTCATTTGGGAATCTAGGCACCATGCCAGTTGGAATGTTTTCCCACAGACATCACAAGAGATTCGTTTTTTCACTCTAGTAACTCTATCGGATTGAGGTGGGCTTGAGACGTATGCTGGTGAAGTGCCATCGATGGTAAAGGCAATTCTCCCAGCACCATGACTCGCAGCGGAGTTGCTCTCACACATCTGAAACAAAAGACAAAGGTCACGCGCATTACACCCATGTCATATGTGTACTCACAAAAGCATACCATAAGGTGACATAAGATTCATATATACTACAACTCATTATACCAGAACTCCACAATATTGCAGTTCCTATCATCTACGATTTTACTCCTCTGATCCACCCATATTGGATTTTGTTTCTTAACAACAATGACTAACTTCCTCCATTTTCATAATGTTACCCACCAAATAGGCCTTTATGTTTTTACACAACAACAAGATAATGATGGCACCATACGTTCAGTCCACTATTCACAACACTCTGACTCGCAATCTCCATATAAGATTGTAATATCATTTCTGTATGAGGGCCCGTCAAAAAGTTTTGAGAATGGACACTTTTTTCCAAACAACCCACTAAAATAGTCTTCATTAAAATATAGTACTATTAATGGCTTAAAACTTTCGTGACTGCAGGAATTCATATTCTTTGGTTCTTTCGGAAAATAATAATAAAAGTAAATAACAAAAAATATAAACTATGACGTTATGATCACAACACAAGCGATCGTCTTCAGGAAAAAAAAGACGATCGCTTGTGATTGAAACGTCGTAGTTTTATTTTTTTACTTTTATTATTATATTTTTTCTATCTACGTGACTTATCGAAATAACCAAAGAATGCTGTTAATAGCACTCAAGTGAACTTCATTATCACTCATGATAATCATTACAATATTAACTAGTTACCCAGGAAAGCCTCATTGAGTCTAAATACAGCTTTTTCAGAAAGGTCCCATTGCATTGATATGTTTGTGTGAGTGGAACCCAGAGAGACCCCACCTCATATGGGGAAATAACACAACTCTGCACAGATAGATTCAACCCACAAACTCAATAAAGCATTCCCTGCTCAACAAAGCATTCAAATCAAGTTGTTTTCTTTCGATTTAAAGCTTTCGTGACTGCAGGGATTCATGTTCTTGGATCTTTCGGTAAAGTAACGTAGAAGGGAAATAATACAAATAAAACATAATAAAATTCTCACGTTTCGGCCACAACACAAACAACACAAGCAGCTGTGAGGACGGCTGCTTGTCTTGTGGCCGAAACGTCGTGAGAATTGTATTGTTTTATTTTTTTATAATTTTATTATTTCCCTTCTACGTGACTTTACCGAAAGATCCAAGAGTATTAAACTATACTTGAAGATGTGTAATTTATTTTAAAATGAGAATGTAATGCCGCAGTTGCAAGCACAGGCCAACTCGTATCTGCATATAGTTTCTGGGCCTCCTCACTTCACAAACCCGCATTGACCAGCATGGCGAAGTATGGTTAAACAACTCCCACGAACGACATGGTGTGGGGGAGGCCTCTATCAAAACGCTGGATCGACAAATGGCTGATACATGTCACGACATTGTACGTCATGACCATTCTCTCGTTAGCACAAGCCGTCTATGTAGACAATAGAGGACACGGCACACGTGTACACGATGCTTATGTGCGTATATTCAGTGTGTGTATCACGTAATAATTATATAAGGTTGCGATTATGCTCAAAACTAACCAAATGTAAAACATCACGAATAACTCTAGAGGTCTCGAGAGCCTGAACAATATTTGAAGTAGACACTGACCCTTGGCCACGAGTTCTTATGAACTATAAACTAAACTATAAACTATTTTTATTTTACCAGGTAAGGCCCACTTGAGCTGTATAGCTTTTATCAGAAGCGACCTAGACACAAGTGATAGCTCAACGAAGTGGCTTATCATGTGGACATTTATGGCAACCAAAAACTCTAAACTCACGTTTTTAAATGTGGAGGGGAAAACCAAAGGACCAAGAGAAAATCTATGTGACCACGGGGAAAAAATATATACAAATAGAGAGCAGGCGTCAGGATCGGGATGGAACCTACACGCTCCTGTAGGCCAGGCGAGGTAGTTAACATCTCGCCACCGCGGCGCCCCTTATTAAAAGCTTAGCCATGTTTAGCAAGGTAATTGTATCATATGACTCGACTCATGGCACCACAAGTGATGTATTAAACAAATAAAACAATAATAGAGAGGCGCTACTTACATTTAACAATGTTGTTGTTAACTTTAAAGGAGCGCGCTTCTCTGGCTTGTAGTCCGGCGATCGCGGTCTCCTCTGTGATTGGTCAGCTCAGGTGTCACTCAGGGTGAGACGCCAAGCCCCCTTTGTTATTGCGCGGCCCCTCAAACTTTCGGGTTAAGCCACGCCCCACGACCATGCACCGCCCACTGTCGGTCAAGCCACGCCCCCACGTGTCAGGCCAAGCTCACCCCAGGGTTAAAGCCCCACGTCCACAATATGAATATGTATTTATATACTGGAGGAGGAATCCTATGAGCTATTGAGATTTATTTTCAGTTATCCAGTAAGGGCTGGTCAAAACGTTACAAAAACAATACAAAATATCACCATAGGAGTGCTCATAGAAATGTAAACAAATCACTTAAATACTGTATATAAAAATCTAATATTTTTTTATTCATCTGATCCTTCGTATTGCCTTCACATTAGCGAGCAGCATCTATGAAGACCGGAACGGCACACGAGAGGGTGGTGGGTGGACATCACTACGCTTGGCCGTCTTTGTCTCCCCCAGTGGCGATGTTTACACAACGCACCAAGTACTCATTTGAAGCCGCCGAGTCGAGTTCGGGGAGGCCCAGAACCGGTTCGGATAATCTTCACTGATGGTGTTGGTGACCATGAGTGGGAATCCAACTCCAGTTGCCGGGTTCGGATGGACAGCCTCCCAGCGTGAGGCTGATTCGCTTACATCTCGCCAAGGCTCGCTACGCTGAACAAAATTCTTCCGCGGTTTAATTGGTAAGTGCGAGTTCGCGTTGTAATTTGATGTTTCAAATAACTTCTCATGGGCGCTGGAAGTGTGGATATTTGTAAGTGGGGTTTTCGAAAGTCGAGGACTGTCTGTGCTGTACGACTATGAATGAAAAAACTTAACTGGAAAGCTCGTGGAAAGATAGTAGTGCAGACAAGGCTGTAAGAAGCCGTTTGCAGGCTTTTTGGCACTGAAGACCCTATCTCACAGTGAATGTGGTACACGTAAAGATGCAGACTGCTCCGAATGCACCTCTATTAAACATCTAACTATAAAGGTACCTCAATGTTAAATCAGCATCGAAGGATAAAACTATATTCTGCGTTTGAAGCAAGCCATATAATTGCAAGACATTCTTATGCCAGCCAAATCTGTGGGTTCATCCAAAGGAATTCGAACATGCGACTATGACTTTGCACTACTTTGGTACAAAAGTCAAATTCAACAAAAGTTACATGCAGCCTTCAATTTATTCCATAAGTAATAATGAAAAGAAAAAACATTGGTTTTTTGAAACAAAAATTGGCTTTACACGTGAAACTTAACGCCACAAATCATTTAGAAACATAACTTCACGTAGTATTCATGTGCAAACCTTGGCAAAAGAGCTATATTTGCTGGGAAACATCACAGTTTGTATGAAGCCAGAACGCTTCTGGCAATTGCTTGATGATGCTGGTTGTAATCACCAGCGAAAGGTCGTACTCGTTTGTAAATGTTCTGCGTTTGCTCTCTAACACACTAGAGTGCCGAAGTAATAACATAAATGGCACGTTCTGTTCATGTCAGAAACATTACTAATTGGCTGTGTTGGGTGGATATGGGTGTACGACGCATTTACGCTTACGCGATCTAACCCAAAAAAAACTTTATCATGAATAATATTGGTCGCGAAAGCCTGCATGTGAAACACCACTTTACCTTTAAAGCCACCTCGAAAACCCATTGCGATAAAATGGGTTTCCCATATGGCTGTGCACATGATGCTCTACACTGCTGCATGTATTAAGGGCGAGAGTGAAATGGCTTACGAACCTGAAACCGGGACCGTAGCTCGCGGGTCTCCCGTTCACCATAGTCCTTCTCTATCATGTCCAGCTGAAGCTGCAGTAGCTGCCGTGAGAAGAACGTCACCCACTCATTCAGCTGGTGGCATAAATATAGTTTTATTACGAACATTTAAAAACATAAGCATATAATACCTAATTTATTTGGCCAATTCTTGACCTAAAACGGTGTTATTCACTAATTTTCGGAGGGGGGCCACTTTCGCGAATAAGACATTATCAGTGAAAGAGCCACCTCATATTTGAAACCATTGGGTTTGACAGCATGATGGGGTGTTTTCACATGTGTAATGTGAGGTTATATCCGGGTCGTTGACGGATT